TTTAATCCAGACTCCATTTTTTTTTAAATTAAGTAAATAAATTTTCATTAAAATTTGGGCCAAAACAAAAGCGCCCATATACAAGAAGTTTAATCCAGACTCCTTGAAGCTGATTTAACTATAATTAGCTGATATTGATATGATCCTTGAGTGAATTGATTGCTTATGCTAGTTTCCAATTTTGTTGATAAAAGACACTACACATTACAGAGAAGGTAAACATCAGCTTGACAGCTTCCTATCTCATTCTCCTTCCTAATTATTTCTTTTATAGGTTCTGAGCGCGGACAAAGAAGGGCAATCCTGCCAAAGGGAGTTCCTTAGGATATAAAATTACCAGACAGAAGCATAAATTTCATGTTCACTATAAAGCGATTATAACATAGATTAGCGTCCCAAAACAGCTTATTGTCTATGTGCACGTGTGCAAAGAGAGGCAATGAATGATCCAGGGGAAAACCGTTTTAACCTTTTTATATAGTGCACAAAGCATTTAAAGTAGGTATGAAACAGAATCATACTTTATTATTTGGGAACACTTTCTGCTGTATAGGTCAAATACACGAACCTTTCCATCATCACATCCAATCACAGCTTCCGGATCTACATAACTGGAAAGGAGGAATGAAACTATTATCAGCAAACGACAAGAAAAACATTCCATAAGCTCTAAGGACAACATAAGCAGCAGAGATTTGCAAACATGGAGCTACAACAGTAACGGAAACAGAGAGATTCAAGTAATTCAAAACTTTAAACTTGCATACTGGTCCTCTCACAAGCCTTTATCTTAATATCAAAGGGGTCTGAGGGAGTCTCACTTTAGCACCATTTCATCAAAATGAAGTCCCAATAAAATTTCAAACTGCTTTCTTCAGTTAACAAATGTTTGATTCTTCTCCATGTGGACGACATAGAAATCTTAGCCAAACTAGAACAATTAAAATACTGTAAAGTCAATTAACTTATCCAAAAAGATGATATAATTTAAATGACATTGGAATCGCCTCTTCCCACATTGCTGATGGAACTTTGAAGGGAAAGAAAAGATGAAAAACAAAAGAGGTTACACACCGCATACAGAGGCCCTTTGTAAATAAGTTCTCACGTGAGGAAAATACATTTCTTGTCTCCGTACGATTCCAGATGCATATACGGGTGCCAACCAAACCAACAACCTGTAGAAAAACATTTCCAATATCAAATACAAAATGTCTATGTCAGACTTGATTAATGAGGCCAAAAAAGATATACTCCATCTTGCAATTGGTGTCAAATGAGCAAATGTAGAAATGAGCCTAATGTGCACTTGTTTATGTCCTTGTCTTTTGCAACAGAAACTACAACCAGGACAAACCTGTATCACTCCTAGAGAATAAATGAGCTCTTTCTTATGAAATTTATGTCTTTGGGGCCAATTAAGGTAAAGCTTCATGAAAATGTGCAGTGCCTGTGGTTGCACAGTGTATTTTGATTGAGACCAATGCTGGAGGATTCCAAGACAAATGCACACAATTTTAGCTTGTAAAAAATAGTTCCTCACTTCCTCGGTATTGCAGAGTAAAATGATTCTGTGATAGTGTTAATTGACCTCAAAGGATTAACTCGCACTTCTTACTATTATATCTCACGCTGCTGTCTAATGAGGACATCTTGTTTGACTCCTTTGCACTCTTTCTCCTCTTATTGTAACTGTGTTTAAAAGCGCAAAAGAAAAAGTAACGAGATCCATAGGTCTTGAAGTGAAACGCACGATTCACTGAGGTGAAGAAGTGCACAATTACGAAAAATTAAATAAGATATATAAATTTAGTTTTATAATATAACTAATCTTACCATCCAATATACAATAAAAATGTATAATACCTTGAACTCACCTTGCCCTCGTCAAAATCAAAATCAATTAAAGGGGCTTTATCGACAAGGAAATATTCATCCAAACATTTGCAGCTTTCTGCCGACCAGAGACGCATGACCTGGATTATGAGGAATGTAGAATGTAAACTTAAAACCATGTCCTATTTTGATGTGAACAAGGCATGCAGAGACGTGTGGCCAATGGCAAAAGACAAGTCATGAATACCATATTTTTCTGGGAGAAAAATACAAGTAATGAATAACATGATACACGATAGCAATTGTTTTGGTAGTACTTAAGAGAAACAATGACACTTGTCAAAAATATCCAATTGATAACAACTAAAGAAACAGAACTACCTACTCATTTCTGAGAAATTAAACAAGAAAACATGATCAGGGATGTTCTACTGTTACACTTCATCCAAATATATTCCACAACAACCAACAATCATCTTCGCATCTTAGGCCTAATAATGTCTCTCCACCTAGCACCCATGGAGCTCCACGGCTGCTCAGCCTATGCATTGTACACTGGCTTTATTTTATAGTAAAGTCTTCTTGCCACGACGATTGATAGACAACAGAAGAGCAAAGACAAGCTATGGGACACTGCCAACCAAACATAAACCAATATGGGAATCTATCAAGTGCAGATAAAACAAGCATTTTGTATGATACAGGTTTCTTTTACCAGAATTTCAAATTAATTTCAACTTCAAAATTTAAGTATCTTAGAAAGAAAAAGAGAAATCATGGAGGATATTTAAGTGCTGCATAAGGTCCACAAAAGGAGGAGGATTAAGGATTTGATGAAACGAAGAGAGGCAGTTCCAATGAAATCATAAGGATTCACATGTATTATTACAATAAATCTCATGTAATAACTATGAGTGCAGAACTTTCCATGATTAAGCACTTTAATCAATCTAACCAGAAGCATGCCATCTTCACCATGCTTCCACATCAACAACTTCTGATCACTAAGCAAGGTTCACAAGCTACCTCCAAGAGCTTACTGGGAGGAAATGGATAGTATACATGATTTTCCTAGTAGATAATGTAGTAGTATGACTTTGCGCTTTCCAGCCAAAGGAAAGAAGCCAGTATGAAATTCTTATTAACTCCTAAAATTCTTAACAGAAAAAAGCGACCCTACCTTGTCACCCACACCGGTAAGGACTTTTCCCATCTTCATTCTGCACTGATTAACCCTAGTAGGAATTGAAGTTAGAGAAAAGATCAAATTTCACAATATGTAGGCTTAATGCATAATTAGAAACAGGTATTATTATGGTGGAAAATCTTCGTTAACATCAGGAGGAAGTTGAAGTTCATTTGGTATTTCTGGGAAATGTGAAAGAAAATGATTTGAGAGAGAGAGAGAGACTGTTCTTAGCTTTTCCTCGTCTTTCCATATTCAATACTTTTATCTTGTACATTAGGGGCTAATTTTATTTTGTATATCCAGGGTTTTGAATATGGATATCATATTAATACTGGAAGAGGAGAGGCTAGTGCACTAGGAGGGTTGAACTGCTTATATTAATAAAACTCTATAAGGGTGACTATAAGGGGACCTATTCTTCCATTTGGGGATTCTGCTTATATCTAGGAAGTCAATGTAATATGGCAATAGGAGTCAGGACAGTGGACTCGATCAAAACGGAGAGGATTTAATGCGTGTGATGAGATTGTCAGTGATAGAAATTGAATTCTAAGTCGCTGACAAATACCATTGACAGCCCAATGTTTATGCCATATGATACTGAATCATGTGAATGATAAACTGATGATTCTACAATAACAAAAGCAACGACCCTAGAAAGTGTACATTTTTAATGCAAGATTTTCATGTTAAGGAATATTACAATCTCTATATGTAAAGATGCAGAAGCTGCTTATATTTTTTGAGGTATTATTCGTTTTGTTTAATTAAGAGAGCTATTTTTCGAACTTAATAAGTGTCTTCTTCTGTTTCTACATAATGTCTCTGTGCCAGTGTGTGTATGAGAGAGAGAACTATGTTTCTTAAAAAAAGCACTAAATCCATGGAATATTTAAATAGTCTGATCATAGTTACAGCTTACGATCATGAATAATGGGTATTGTAATGCTTACCCAACTGAATGACCTTTCCATTGATTAACACTAGCTGGAGCTCTTTGTAAAGCCAATGCGTGTCGTTCCATAGCTAGTTGCTCTGCTTGTTCACTCAATGATCTCTGAGAGGAAGAAGCGTCCTGGAGGCCATTAGGATCATTATACCGTTGCTTGCAGTATTCTGTTTGATTTAATTTTAATTTATTTATGGCTTTTCTCCTTCACAGGATAAAGCAAGGGCAATACAAAGAAGACAGTCAGTAATTGGCTGAAGCAATGCTACATAGCTGAAGAAATTATATTCAATTGGCTGTTAGTAGGTCAAAGGTGTGGAAATTTGAGGTGGTACCAAGAAGTGGAAACGGCGGAGCAGCGAATAAGCTGGAATAAGTCGAGAAAGGAGAAGATGATGCACAGGACGTCATGGCTGAGGGATTCTGCTGTTGTTTTCTTCTTTTTCTTCTTCGCGGTTGCCGTGCCCGCCGTGAACGGCTGCCGGGGACTTGACGTCGTTGCACTTGGGTCCATTTTTTTCCAGGGAAGGAAGAACAGGAACAAGAAGCCTTTTTAAGAATCTTACACAAACGTCACAAAAAAAGTTCCAATTTATCAAACTCTACACCGTACACTTAACAAAACTAGTCAAATAAGTATAAAAATTAAAAACCAAAAGAAATAAGGTTATTTTTTTTCATGAATCACACACAAAATCTACTTTCATATTTTTAAACTACGATGCAAAACGAAAAGGAATTTTTATGGATAAGGTAGCAAATAAGGTAATAAAATACAAAAAAAAAAAATTATAAAATTTTAAAAATCAAAATTTTTTTTCAATGGGTATGGTTGAAATTCATTGAAAACATATAAATGAGTCAATATACAAAATTTGAGTAAAATTGGAGGTGATTTGGACTGATTTGGTATCAAAAGTTAAAATCGAGTTCAAAAATTTCTTTTGCGACACATATATCACGTATGTATCTCACACGCAGGTATACATGTGATAGACATTTGATACAAATATGATACATATCTGATACACAAGTGATACGCATATCATTTTTTTCATGTTCATCTTCTAATTCGAACTTTCAATTCAAACCACCTCAAAACTCCACCAAATCATCACAAAACTGAGATTCAAGCTCCTTAACCTATTCTAATAACAGTCACTCAAAAAGAAAGCAAAAGTTGACTTATTTTGGCTACAAATAGTTAATTGGCTAATATTAGTAATATTCTATAAATTAATCAATTTTTATAATAGGCTACTTATAAATTGACATAACTGGTATTTTCACTTTTTTCTTTTTGGGCCAACAGAAGCCTTTTAAGTTGAGGCTCATTAGTTAGGCCCACGAGGGGGGAAAAATCAGAATAGTCAGATTTACAGCTGATAATTGAAAAATAGCCATAATTTCAAAAGATTGAAATTTAACTTTTTTTTCATGTAAAGATAAAATTTAAATAAAAATACCCTTTAAAATTCAGAAAAATTCACATATTATGGTGGAACTTTCGTGCTAAAATAATACTTCCTCCATTTCAATTTAGATGAGATAGTTTGACTCGGTACGGAGTTTAAGAAGAAGAAAAAAAGACTTTTGAAACTTGTGGTTTAAAAGTTTAAGGGGTAAAAGTTTCATGAGACCGTGGTATTTTTGTGGTTATAAAAGCTTTTCATTAAAGGTAAAATGCGTGAAATAAAGAGTTTATAGTTGAATTATTTCCAAATTTAAAAATATGTCATTTATTTTGAAACAGACTAAAAACAAAAGTACCTCAGACGAGCTATTTCATGAGCATGCCTCAATTATACCAAAACAACCTTCGGCTAACTCAACCATTGAAGTTAGTTATAAAAATTGCTCAACACCATATAAAGAATCAAAGTGCCCAATCTCTGTCCAATGTGGGAAACCAACAACTTATAAACGAGAGACTGCAGATTCATGTTGGAAGTCTACTTCTCTCATTCTTGTCTCATGCCATAGACCTTTTAAGTAAGAAATCTATTTCTTCTATTGTTTATCTCTCAAAAGTGGCGACGACATCATACACTATTCCACAATAAATTAAGTGTGCTCGAGATATTCTTGGTCATCTTCACTTTATGGATTCCAAGCTTGTTTTTTTAATTATTCATATCAAGTTTCTTGGTGTTGACTTTCACTTGTTCCAAAGCATGCATGTTGCTTAAGAGGCTCCATACTCATTTGATATTAGTTTATAGAGTGCAAGCTTAGCTTGTTATTGTGGAATAATATTTGCAGTTGACTAACACTTAACGGCGCACGTTTGATTCTCAAAAAATAAAAAATAAACAAAGAGAGAAAGAGAGAGGAGAAAAAAGAGAGATCTCATAAACTAGTTCAAGTAATCTCGTTCCGTTCTATTCAACTTTGGCTAAACAAGCTCATGAAATGATTAATAATATCATAATTAATTACACAAAAGGATTAGCTGCTTGTTTAAGCATTTCCTGGAGGTGGTGTACCAGAAAGGAAGTGAGAAATAAGAGAAAGGGCTCTAGCAGGTTGGTAACTCGGAACTTCATGTCCTGCCCCTCTTACTGTTGCTAATGTTAGTCCTCCTTTGTATGTTTCTATGTATCCTCCAACCTACAATATCCAATTGAAATTATTAATTGTTTTTTCAAAATAGAATTTATAAGCTGTTTTAATTTAATGAGCAAGTAATTAATGATTTTTTTAATTACCTCTCCTCCATACAACCAAGAGCGCCAAGGTTTGTCTACTGTAAGGTCCATTGCCTTTATTGATCTCTTTGATGAAGTTACAGGTACTCTTCCATCTGTATCACCACTGCATTTTACAAGTACAAATATATATTAAATTGAAACATAGTATGTCATTAAATACTTTCGAATGAATACTGAAGGCAAAATTCCTTATAAAATTACCTAAAAATCCATACTCGAACACCATTTGCCAAAGACTCTTCTAGGAGAGGAATTATAGTCAACGGACTATCTTTCCAATTGTAAAAAAGAGGATCACTACAAAAGGGAAAATAAGTGTTGGATTGAGAAGAGAACGCAGACAAGAAAAAGCTAATTTTTTTTTTATATAAATGAATATAATTGACAGTATCTGTTGAAATTTGTTCATTTACAATTACCTGCAAGCTTCCCAATCATAGCTGATATTGGTGACATTAGCGTGGAGTGCCTCTTGAACATCCCGCCTATTCAAGTAAGCATAAATGTAATTGTCGGAGCAGGGATCAAACTGCAATGTCTGCATCAAATAAGACGTATAGCAATTCTTGCATTATTATTCATCGCCTAAACAATTTCTACATTATAATATCCGCATAAAACAAAACGACTAATGCAAGATATCCCACTTACAAAAGGTAATTTAGGGTGTTTGGTGAGATTGCCGTCGTGGCACAGGGGAAAAAAAATGTTGTAGATGTCAAGGTTATCGGTATTGTTGTCTGAAACTGCACCTGCCTTGTTGCACTTTTCCTCGTTGTAGAAATCGGAGTAACAATATTTCTGGATATCAAGGAAAGTTTGATCTGAAATTAGGGCATGAGAAGCAAAGTATTCATACATTCCTACGTTATCTGTATCTTCATTGATCACTGCATTCCCAATCTGCAATTTGTTGCAAAAATAATCAGTCTGTGGCATGAAATTCATAAGAATTTAACTTATATACACTAACAACGTAAATAATTAGAGAACTTACGATAATTCCTTTTAGATTGATAAGAGTCTTGTTGGAGCGCTTGTTAAGGTGAAGAATTGCATGTGCCAATTGAGGTACATAATGCCCAGCATAGCTTTCACCAGAAATGTAAAAATCTCTGTTCTTGTACTCGGGAAATCGCTCGAGCCAATTCAGTAAAAATACAACATTATCATTAGCTGTTCTCTTATCTCCAGTTGAGTTGAAGTCACTGCTTGTATTTGTATAAGAAAATCCTACTCCAGCAGGAGACTCCAAGAACAATACATTTGCAGCTATATAATTCAATCGGAGAAAGTTAGGATTAATATACACTCCAGTTGATAATTTCTCAATTGTTTCCAAATATTAATAGTAGAGAAATTAAAGTAAAGAATTTACCAAGATTCCATGCATAATGATTCCTGTATAATGTTTTTCCATCACTGTGAACTCTAAAAGGTCCGAGTTCCTCCATGGCTCCAAATGCAATAGACGAACAGCCAGGACCTGCAGATATAGTTCATGGCATTTTAAGTATATTTTCATAAAATTGTATATATTTAAGATTAATAACAATATTATGAGCAAATCCAATAATCTATTGATAAAAAACTTTAAGTGTTTATTGAAGAAAGTGATTATGAAATTTAAAATATTAAGATAATAGTAATAAAAAGAAAATTTGGTTTTTAATTTACCCTTTTAATGAAAAATATTACTAGTGGAAAATATTTTTTCTCAAATAGCTTAAACTATACATGTAAATGAAAAGGTTTTTGTCAAAAGTATATAGTATAACACAAAAAAAAAATGATGTATATACCTCCATTAAGCCAAAGAAGAAGGGGCAATGACTTGGAATTCTCAGCTTCAGTAAAGTAATAATACAAGGCACGACCAGCAGATTCATTGACAGTCACATAGCCACCATATTGTTGGAATTTTACTGGTGGTTGTCCTGGCAATTTCTTGATCCAATCTTTTTCTTTCTGTCCCTCTTGAGGTAGAATAACTTTGTCTAAATCTACATGGTTAAGGGCTGCCTTAAACTGGCTCTTGTCAATGGATGAATCTTTCTTTTGCTTAGCCTTGTAAAATTTTCCAAGAACATCACTTTGCCTCTTTCCAAGGCTTGAAGCAACAAAATGTGACAAAAAGAGGGTAAAAAGTAGGAAGAAGAAAGTGATTTTTCCCATTTTCTGATCTTTTTTGTTTCTCTTACGAAAAGTGGAGATATAAGGGGGTTTATATATTGCAATTCTGTGTGATTCCTGATTTGATTATTATACCATTTTGGTACTGAAGGCAAATCATTTTTTAACAAATTGGCGATGTTATTGGGATTATGATATGACTTGCTCCAATTACGCATGATTTTATACCAAATATAGTTGTTGATTTCTTGCATTTGATAATTTTACTATATTTTGATTTCTGAAGACAAATCAGTTTACAATAAATTGGCAATCACTGGGACTATAGTATATGACTTACTCTAATATGCAATATTTTATGCCAAATATAGTTCTAACAGACAGGATTCTATTACTTGATTTTCGCACTTTTGACATGTAAATGAAAATAAAGTGAACTTTAATTCAAAAGAGGGCGTAATAGGAATGAAAATCTTGTAACCAAAATAAAATTAACTAGTACGTAATTTGTGCAGAAACTACAAGTGATTACGGATTAATTTGTTAATAATAAGATGAGTTATTGTACCCTTTTTAGCAACAATAGGTTAAGCAATTTTCAGTCATCAGTCATTTTACAGAAAGAATAGAAGGATTCCCTCATAAGACATCCATTGAAAATTTATAGACATCCTATCATACGGGGAGGATGTATCATTATATAGCGGCTTAATTGAACCCATACCTTTCGATACAGAGCATAAATTTATGTGTAAAATTTTATTAAAAGTGCAATAAATAATAGACATGAACACATAACTATACAAATATAATTAGTTCAATGCTAAATGTTAGAAATAAACCCCCCACAGAAATAATATTCACGGTAATAACGGCGAAATAATAACATAGTACATGTTTACCCGTAAAATGGTACAGTTGAATTTGTTACATGATTTAAAGACAAGCAAACTGATTTGATCCGAAAATAATAAATAAATACGATTAAAGATAAGACTTAGCGTTAAAATCAAAGGAAATGGCAAGCTTGGCTCCGAGAGCAATGTCTCCAAGGACAAAAATAAGAACAATATGCAAGAAAAAGTAAAGTTATATTATTTAGCTTGAGCGTAGAATGTAGCATAAGTTTTGCCAAAGATTTTGTGTCGTTACAATGGTTGTTGAAACTACTATTTATAGCTATACCTAGGAAACAAGATCCTAGGATCAAACTCCACTTAAATGATAGTAAAGTGGGCCATTGATCAATGCGCAATGGCAGGCCACGAATGCCAAAATTCTATGCAACGGCTACCTACTTAATACTAGGGAGTATTCTTCATTAAATACAATCTGGTGACAAACATTCGACTCGCTCATGTTGATTATGCTCCCTTCAGGGTCTATCCAATACCAACTGCAGTTGTTATCCCCAGGCTTGGTTCTTACTCGATTTGTCTTTCGTCTCTCTCCGGTTCCACGTGTCATGCTATCATTTGGTCATTTAATATAAACCGATTTTACCCTATACAGATAGTCCCCCTGCTTTCCGGTGGCACATCTTTGTGTCATTGGAAAGTTGGTGAAGATTCCTTTCTTGGTGAAAAAATTTCTGAAACCTTCTCAGCAGTCTTTGACGCTTGATAAGACGCACATCTCCTCGCATTTATGTCACGACCCAAAATTCAATTAGTTGTGATGGCACCTAACCCAACCCACTAGGTAAGCCAATTATCAATTATCCAATTCTAATAACAATTATTGAAGCAATTTAAGTAAAGAAAAATCTTAATCTTATACATTCCCCAAGAACTAGTAGTACAAATCATGAGCTTCTAAGAATAGAGTATACAAAGCTGGTATGGAGTAAATACATCATCTGTTTGAAAAGTACATAAACAGAGTTTTATGAATCTAAGGCTACCATGAAAAAGAGGCAGCTACAACCGGAGCACAGGTACATCTTCAGATCCAGCTCCCAACGAACACAACAACATCAGCAGCCAACATCTGTATGCAGGGTGTAAAAGTGTAGTATGAGTACAACCGACTCCATATACTCAATAAGTAACAAACGTAACCTTAGGTTGAAAGAAGTGACGAGCTTGTACCAAGGTCGGGTCCACACCAATAGCCAATAACAGTCCATAACAACGTAAAACAAATATTACAAGAAGTAACTCAGAAATAAAAATGCTCAGAAAAATCATGATTTCTGAAAATAGTTCTGCCTTTCAAGTACATCAGTGAAAACCCAAATCGTTTACCGAAGTTGCCAAAAATATGAGTAAGTTTGAAAACAGTAATTTTTCCAAAATCTTTTCAATGATAATTAAGATGTCTCATTTTATTTCCAGATAACCAGTGTAAAACAAATGCATCACTATGCCCATCTGTCAACATGTGTGAGAAATCATGAATGATGAGATAACGTACAACATGCGAAAAATATATCTCTATGCCTGTATGTCATGTGTGCATGTCAATGCAATGTATCTCAGAGATGAACTCATGTACTCACACTCTCAGAGTACTCAATCTCACTTTCTCACACATTCCACTCATCATGCCCAATCACGCGGTACTGTATATGGCCAATCCGGCCCAGGGAAGATCTATCCCAGAATATACACATCAACTGATCATCAGTCACTAAGTACCGAGTAGGGCCAATCCAGCCCGTGGAGAAGATCCATCTCCAGCTATATAATACTTCGGACAAGATCCATGTCCAGGAAAGATCCATCCCTCAATAATATCAACCACGCTCACTGGGGGGTGTACAGACTCCGGAGGGGCTCCTTCAGCCCAAGCGATATAAACTGCACGGACAACTCACGTGCTATAGTATCAATATCAGGATCCGCACGGACAACTCACGTGCTGCACGGACAACTCACGTGCTATAGTATCAATATCTGAATCCGCACGGACAACTCACGTGCTGCACGGACAACTCACGTGCTATAGTATCAATATCTGAATCCGCACGGACAACTCACGTGCTGTGTTAAGCCTATAAGGCCTGCTGCAGACGGGCAACCCCGATCCATATAATGATAATAATATATATAAAGCCAACATGGCCTGCTGCGGCATGCAACCCGATCCCAAAAACATCCCCACAGTCAGGCCCTCGGCCTCCCTCAGTCATCAATCTCTCCAGTCTCTCTCTCATGGGCTCACAGTGCCATGAATATAGCACGAAAATGATGATATGATGTATCAATAAATAACAACAGAGACTGAGATATGATATGCAATGAAATGAATAAGACTGAGTATGAATTTTTAATTTAAAACAAATAATTCACAGTAATATGACCTATGTGGGTCCCAATAATACTGACACATAGCCTCAACATGATTTTTAATATGATTCTCAGCTAAATTTCTCTAACATTAAAAACTGCATAGAAAATGCCAAGATTATTTCACTACAAAATTCCACGGAAATAATTACGACACAATTTCTATGGTGCACGCCCACACGCCCGTCACCTAGCATGTGCGTCATCTTCAACAATTCACATAATACCTATATTCAGGGTTTATACCCTCAGCTCCAAGATTAGAAGAGTTACTTACCTCGAACAAGATGATCCATTGTCGAGCAAGCTAAACAATGCTCCAGAAATCCCATTCTACGCATATCAACTCCTGAACGGCTCGAATCTAGCCACAATAAATTTGATTCAGTCCACACAATTTATAGGAATTTATTCCATATCAAATACTAATTTTTCCACAAAATCCGAAATTATACTCAAAAATCGCCTGTGGGGCCCATGTCTCGGAACCCGACAAAAGTTATAAAATATGAACGCCCCTTTAACCACGAGTCTAACCATACAAATATTACTCAAATCCAACATTAACTCGACCCTCAAATCTTCAAATTAAACCAAGAAGGTTTTCATAATTTTTCAACTTAATTCACCAATTAAATGTTAAAAACAACCATGGATTCGGGTAATTTGACCAATATTGAGTTAAGAATACCTACCCCATTATTTTTCTTGAAAATCTCCCAAATATCGCCTCTTCCCGAGCTCCAAATCGGTAAAAATAACTCTCTGCCCAGTCATTTCTTCTATGCGATCGCGGACCAAGTCCCGCTATCGCGAAGCACAACATTTCTACTGCCCAAAATAACCCTATGCGATCGCGTACAAGGTTATGTGATCGCGAAGACCAAAATACACCTCCCCCAAAAACTTCTCTACGCGACCGCACCATAACACACGCGAACGCGAAGCACGAGCTTCCCAGTCCTACGCGATCGCGGACAGCCCATGCGTTCGCATAGAACAATGCTCGCGAACCCCAGCTGCCTCACCTCCTCTTCGCGAACGCGGTTTGATCCATGCGTTTGCGATGCATTCCTTCTTCCGAGCTACGCGATCGCGGTCGTCCCCACGCAATCGCATACAACAAAATTCAGTAGCCCCCAATTAACCCTACGTGATCGCAGACCTTCTCACGCGATCGCGTAGAAGGAAACTAGATGCAGATTTCAGAAAATTCCAGCAAGATTCCAAGTCCAAAAATTGATCCGTTAACCATCCGAAACTCACCCGAGGCCCTCGAGACCTCAACCAAATACACCAACAAATCCTAAAATATCATACGAACTTAGTCGAGCCCTCAAATCACATCAAACAACATCAAAAACATAAATCGCACTCCAATTCAAGCCTAATGAAAAACTAACAATTTTCAACTTCTACCTTCAATGCCGAAACCTATCAAATCAAGTCCGATTGACCTCAAATTTTGCACACACGTCATACATGACATAATGGAGGTATTCTAATTTTTAGAATCGGATTCCGGCCCCGATATCAAAAATTCAACTCCCCGGTCAAACTTCCAAACTTAAATTTTTATTTTAGCCATTTCAAGCCTAATTTAGCTACGGGCTTCCAAATAATTTTTCGGACACGCTACTATGTCCAAAATTATCATACAGAGCTATTGAAATCATCACAATTCGAATCCGAGGTCGTTTTACATAGATCAACATCCGATCGACTTTTCCAACTTAAGCTTTCCATTTAAGA